GGGATTTTGATAAACCTTCCGCTTGTCTATCTCCCCCCCCCCCGTGTAATGACCTGCATAAGTCATTCTCAAAGACAAATTTGGTGTATATTAACTATGCCGGTAACTATACTTAGCTCGTACCTGATATAACAAGTATAATTAGACACGTAACTCCGCCGTTGATGGTTCCAAGCGCAGTTTTGAAAGGAGGAGGGTTGGAGACTCTGGTGAAGTCTATGTATAGTTTCGCCACCTGTCCTTGATGGGATTCACGCACGTTACGTGTGGCCGCGCAGGTTGTTGACGAATTTAGCGAGGTTGCCAAAATCAAAGATCAGAAGCTGTTCATCGACTTCTGCCAACGTAGGGCGTAGCAGCACACTTACAGATGGAAATATATGAAAGGGGTCTGTTGTCGACTTCAGGTGTTTTCTGCCGAAGTTGAGACTCTGTCACAGGATCGGGAACGTCGGAAACACTGTCTGAAGCGTCCGTGTACCCGAGCCGAAAGGATAGGCGACTATGGAAGATAAAGAATTTAACAACTACAATTTTTCATGCTGCAAACCATTGAATGAAAAGACGAATCATCTGTAAAATTATTTACTTTTGGCTTAAATTTTTATCAGAAACATGTAATGAGTGCTAAATGTTGCCTGAAACAATGAAGATGTCGTGGAATATATGTGGTAAATATTAATACTTCGAGAGAAATCGAAAAAATAACAGATTCAGTGATTTGGGAAATTTATTAGGATGGTACATCAAAAATTCGAAACACAAGTTACCATGACAAAATCACATGACAGGACTGGTAGGTAATATGATGCGTAGATGAGCATCTGCCATTCTCTGATTGGCCTGAAGATGTAAAGCATTACAACTGCTTCCTGGAGAAGCTGTCAGTACAATCCGAAATGAGTAGTGAGGTGTGAAAGAGCGAATGAATATTTCAATATTATAAGGTAAAGGGCTGATTATGAGACTGATATAATCTGGTTTCTTATAGCCCGTTTCTCTACAAAGAGTTCTTGTTTTGATTAATTGTCTGCTACGACTGTTCTATTCCCATTTCTCCTTCGAAAGGCTACCTCAATGCTGCACTGGCTTTCGATCTGCTTCGCAACAGACGTCATTGAATTTATCCTGCATGAACAGTGAAAACGTAGAACTCCGTCAGGAGCTAATGGCGCAGCGCAGGATAAAACATTGGAGGTCATACAAGCACTGCCCCTCCACGATCTAAACGGTGACACAATAATGGTGTCGTTTCTTTAAGACATTGTGTCGGACTTCATCTAGAGTGTAGTTTCGTAGTGTTATCCCCCAGAGAACAACAGCTCTTTTGCAGAAAAATATAATTTCAACACAGGCGTTCTTAGACGTTACTGAAATACTAGCAGTGAATGGACTAACTGATCGAATATGTGTTCCCTGACTTTGACATCTTGTGCCAAGTATTAGATAGCATAGGAAAACAGCCATTTCAAACAGTACATATCCAATGATTAACTGGTATTGTATTCCCTTATTCATCTTACGCTCAAG